TCACCCAATAATTGTTTTTTGTGGGTATTTTCAAATTTTTTAAGTCATGACGATCGCATTTTTATTCTGATCAAGTCCTTCGATGACGGCATTGAAATCACCAATGGAGTTTGGCGTTAAGGGTTAATTTGTTTTGCTTATCAAGCCTGTTACTTTTTTATTAATATTTTCTCTTTTGTCGTCGTCGTTGTGGTTGTTCGCGCTCGCTAGCAGAATTATAAGACAAAACAAATTAATGATACGAGACGATTTCCTGAAAAAACCGAGGATTTAGAGGAAAACGCGCGACGAAGAACGACGTCCGCGGGTACCCGTTTTTGAGCGAGAGAGATTATCACTTCCTCAAACCTTGAGACATAAGATATCGACGTCAACATAATATCCAGTTCTAGAGATTAAAATAAGAACGGTTGGTTATGTTTTTTCCCAATCCGACCCCTGAAACCTGTTCTTCTAGTCTTGCGGTTTTTCTTGCGGATCGCCGGATATGCATTTGTTCCATGTTCGCCGAATAGCGGGTCAAATAGCTAGTTGTGGTTGGAAATTGACAACGTAGTGACATGTTGCTCGAAGATGCTTGTGTATGGTAATTTTTACAGACCAGTTTGAATTTTAGGGACTTAATAAAACTTCCTTCCTATCATGTAATTTTTTTTTCTTAGCTGGTTTCCCTTTAAGAGAAGTTGTAAACAAGCATCTTCGAGCAAGATGTAACAAGGTCATCGGTAAAATAGCTATATTAATTTATTCACTCATATTGCACAAATAACCATAAAAATAATGATACAATGCGCATTACCGGTAATTAAAAACATTAAAAATCTATTTACAATATGATATACAAATAATATGATTATATCAAGATAAGATAAGAATATATGCTACAATAATTGGTTTAAATAATTTTCTTTTCTTTTTTGAAGTAGCGTACTGTGTAATGTTGTCATTGCAATTAAAAATAAAAATACCGAATAGAAGATAAAAAATATCAAATTGAATGTAACTAGTAAAAAGTTAGTTAACTATAAGCAGTCTTAAAAAAGTGCGTCGTAAGAAACAAATGTCGCGCGCAGCTCACGAAGCAGAGCATTTCATAACATGGGTGCAACCAGGCCTCCTGGAAGGGACTATCGCCTTCTGTAACTTTTGTTTAAGGGCCTGTTTACATGGAGGTGGGGGACCCCAGGTAGGTGAGGTAACCCGCTTAGGTGGGGTAACCCGCCTGTCCATATAATCTCTCATTTTCATTTGATCACGTTTACATGATAGGTGGGGTGACCCGCCAAGGCGGGTAGCCGGGTCTACCAGACCGGGTTACCCTCTCAGCCGGGGTCACAATTTTTCATGTAAACGTTTCAAGGTGGGGTAACCCGCCTGGCCGGGGTCGGATTCGTGATACATCAAATTCGCGCAAAATTCGCTTTCGCGGTGTCTTTGCATTATGATTAAAGTTAACAATAGAAAGCTATTGCACTGACGGGTTGCAGCAAGAGCAACAAGTGAGTGAAGAAGTGCATTAATCGCCAAAACTCGTGGTTTGCCAGCATTTTTCTTGTTTACGTGCTTAGCGACCATTCAATAATCTTGAGAAAGTGCACCCCGGGAAGGCGGGGTTGTAAGATTGCATGTAAAGGAGGATTATTTTTTTACCTCACCTACCTGGGGTCCCCCACCTCCATGTAAACAGGCCCTAAGTTTAAGTTTAACTTTAATAATACTTTGTCATGCAAATACAAGTAAATAAATTATAGAAAAAACAAAAAAGTGCATGACTGGAGAATAATTGGGGGAAACTAAATTCCTATACAAAGAATATTCCCCAATATTAGACATACTAAAACTTAAGAAGTAAAATTAAAATGCGGCCCAAAACGTACCTGATTAAATTGCATGCTAAAATTGACACTAAAAATTAAGGAGTAAAATTTAAATACGGCCCAAAACTAACCTGATTAAATTGCATACTTGTCACTCACGAGTTACACCTGATTTAAAATTGACACAAATGATCTAACAGATACGACTTAAAACTGCTTAATGAAGGTGCTTTCACAATGTTCGATGGAATACTATTTCAGTCTGTTATGTAGCGATTGAAAAATGAAAATTTAATTACCTTTGTTGTAATTGTTGGCGTCCTCTAGTAAAGTACCACCAGAAGATCTGAGGTCAGTGCATGGCGGATCCCTTATTTTTAGACCAAACTGAGGCCCGAAGGCCGAACAAAATTTTATTGGAGACCGCCGCCCCCCTTTATCTAAGGGTCTGGATGATCGCCCCTTCAACCCCTTATTTCAAGGTGTGGATCCGGCACTGGAGGTTTTATGCACCTTGCGATTTTAGAGAGTTAAACTAGGTCCTGAATATAAAAAATATGTACCAGGAGCAATAACATGAATGGCCTTAAATGTAAATAGCCGCAAATCTCAAAGTAGATCATACGCTGTTTTTATTTATTGTACGGTTCACTTGCCTCGCAGCTTAACAAGGTTCAGCGTGTTTTAAACACTGCAGCAGGAAAGCTTGTATAATGTGGCCCGCTCTGCAGCCATATTACATCATTTATGTTAAGCGTTAACCACAGACTCCGTTACAATAATACTACCTATGCAAACCTTAGCTAATTGTTGCCGGGTACCAACTAAGGAACAGAAACTCAGTCAGGCTTATCCAGTACGGTCATGAGTCGGTCTCTAATTATTCTATTGAAGTCCATGATGCAAGAAGCTGTACCTTTTACCCGGGTCCGGACAATCATCGAGCAAGTGCTAGTGAGCCATGGGAGCCATGGGAAAAATATAGTTAAACACTGATTTACAACGGTCATCTTTCAATTTTTTTTTTCTGCATTATTGCTTTTTCGATTTTTAGTAGTTCTTCGCATGGCTCGCACTTTGTCCTCACTCCATTACCGCATTAGCATCATCGCCCGGTACGTCTGGACTGAACGCCAAGTGCAATGCCGTATCATCGGTCTGACAGTGCACGCTTGGCAGGTGTCGTCCTACTCGTTTTAGTCCGCTGGTGTTGACATGGAAAAAAGTGGGCCAAAAAATGACCCTTGCGGTACCCCCTGTATGAGTGAAAAGGCGTCTGATTATCTGCGACACACTACGTACGGTCGGAAAGGTCAGTCACGCCGAGTCTTGATCTCAGAAGTAGTGAGGAGGTGATATACAGTGTAGTCACATTTATTTCATTTGTTTGAACCGGGAGCCAGTGAACTTGTTATTTTCCTGTGACCACTTTATATTATTAAAGCGTTGTCGTGTAAATGAAAAGGAAGAATTTTACGTTGATCACTCTTGGGGCTTTTAAAATAATGCTAGTAGGATATTTTACTCGGTTATTTTGAAAACGTTGATGTTTGAGGGTAGTGACGCATGACTTATCAATGATCATGTTACGGAAAACGTGCTGAGTTTTGAACATACTTACGATAATTCTCGAATTGGTTCAGCCAGATAAATTTCTTCGCCATTTCCATCCGTTCCTATTTACCCCGTTTTTGCTTTGTGTGTTTTGACTTAGCAGTAATTAATACTTTTGAGTCATTGGTAGTATTGAATACTGGACTGATTCACTCTGCTGGCAAACGTGAGAAAATGCAAGCCCGAAACTGTCGCTTTTAACATTAAATTAAAAAGTCTCAAATTTGCATAAAATAATTCAAAATACTATTACTTTTAAAATTTCACCTTATGATGATTTCATTATAACATTTAGGTGTAATAAGATCTTAGCAAGAGGATGCATGTCAATGAACTATATCTGTAAAAGTTAAAACTTTGCCTGTGGCTGCCGCGAAGGGTGCATGCCCCTGTACCCCCTTGAAACTTACGCCTTCGACGCTCATTTAGGGAAACGGTCAGTATTTATTGAGATCCGCGCCTGAACCACGTGACAAGACGGCCATGATGGTCGACGAAACAAGAGTTTAGTTCCCAGTGGAGGGCAACTCTTTTGTTCTTGTCAAGCAATATGGCCGCCGTGACATCAGCTACAAACCAGCAGTAGTATATTGTGAAACATCCCACAGGTGACCCTGCCTCGCACCCAGGCGCTTTTTGAGATTTTCTGCGGTGGTCTCCACGCAAGAGGTTTAAAGGTGATGTGACACGAGACGATTCGCAACGACGATTTTTAGCGCAACACAGCGTTGCAACATTGTTTCGAATGGTTACAACATTGTTCCAGTATTGCAACGCTGTGTTGCACTAAAATCGTCGTTGCAAATCGTCCCTTTTAACATCACCTTCAGTCCTCCGTTGCGCCTTTGCGTTTTTTAAGCTTTCCCATGATCCTTGCGAAGCGACAACCTTCGTAGATCCCAAGACAGGTACAAGGCAGCAGGTGACCCGAGTTTTTTATTCTTGTATTTGCACTCAACTAGAGACTGTCTGCGTACTAAGTAAAATGAAACCACTCCACGATGTGCTACTCAAAACTATTGCGTGATTAATTAATTAAGAAAAGCTATCCGCTATTGTATGAACACCTGTCCAATATGTGACGCTCCACTTTAGAGATCGGCGAGGCGCAGCTTCGCTCCCTCATAGAAATCGCACCGCCACAATGAGAAGTCCTATCCGTTATGAATTTCGTGGTAGACTACGAGTAGTCCCCATTTTTCCTCAGGGATAGTAGCACAAGCAAAATGCGAGCGCGCGTGAAAATTGCCCCACGCGAGAAAGGCGAGACGCGGCGGGGAGAGAGTAACCTCATTTTTTCTCTCTCCCCGCCGCGTCTCGCCTTTCTCGCGTAGGGTGATTTTCACGCGTGCTCGCGCTTCGCTCGCTCTACTATCCCTGAGGGAAAATGGGGACCATTCGTAGTCTAATTTTGTGGCGGCACAAAAACTATACGGTTTAGTGTGAGCACAGGCCTTAATTCTGCAACCCCCTCTCTGTATTGCGCACACGCAATGGATTTAGTTCCACAACATTCGCATTTCCTCCCAGCACCACTGGTTGTACAGTAGCTTGAACATGACGTAACCTTCAGCATACCATTTTAAGATAATCCGTACGAAAATTCTTGTTAAGCACGCCATATATAAAAGGATTCAAAGCACTTCTGATATTGGCCAAAAACGTGTATGCTACTTACGCCTCGCGAGGGAAAGTCCATCTCCCAAGAATAGTGTCTAAAATGTCAATTAGCAAAACTGGAGCCCAGCAAAGACTAAAAAACACCACTATCACAAATAGTGTGCGTGCCACCTTAATTTCTTTTATGTTCACAGTGTTAATTCCGTTACCAGGGTGATACAAGTTGTTATTGTGAGTACGAATTGTCTTGAAGATTCTAAAATAACAGTAAAAAATGATGCAAGATGGAATCCCCACATAAAATGCGACCAAAAGGGCGGCGAATGCACCACTGTCAATTATAAAACAGCAGAAGAACTTGGATGGGTGAAAAACCATTTTGTACCCATTTAAGAAATATGGAAATGGAGCACACATTGAAGAAAGCCGCGATATAACAATAATGAACTGGGTTTTTCTTTGAGTGAAGTAGCGGCGGTACTTTAATGGTCTAACAAGTCTAAAATACCTGTTTACAGCCATTAAGACCAATGTATGTATCGATGCAGCAGTCAACATAATAGCAGAGTAACCCTGAAATTGGCAGGTCGATTCATTAAAAGGCCACTTAGAGGTCACCAGGACAGCAGGTCCTAACGGACCTGACACGAAAACGCCCAAACATAAGTCAGTAACAACGAGTGATGCGACTAACAAATTAGGAGTTGTTTTCTTTGACGGTTTAGTAACACAACCAGGAGAGTTATAAAATTCCCAACTAACATTATATTAATGAGGAAATAGTCCCGAATGAAACTGATTCAAGGATAATTTTGGCGTTACTTCTGGACTGTAACTCTATCAACATTTCTGCCAGTTGCTTCTTAGTTAAATTCATTACGCACAGAGTCAGTCGCATCCAGCTATGGCGTTAAATATAATAATTAGATAAAATAACATGGCGGGAAGTGATTTCAGTGTCTATGAGACATTAGGGTGCTTAAGCAACAACGAAGGCGACGACTACGAAAACGTCACTTAGAAAGTGAATTTGCGCTGCTACAAACTTTATCGCGCTTCTTCCATCTCGTTTACTTCGTCAAATGTTGGCAAATGATTTTGGAGTTGAATTCTAAAGGACTGTTTCAAAGTTTAGGAAAAGAAAAGGAAAGTTGTTCACGTTTGAGTTCCCATTAATTTAGGCACTTTCACGTTGTAGTCGTGCAACGACGGCGAAGAAATGTACAAAAAAAGCGTGAAGCACGAGTTGTTGTTTTGCTTATCTACACCTGTTGTTTTATTGCCGTTCTTGTTGCCGTCGCCGTCGTCGTTGCTTAAGCTCCCTAATTAAAGGGACTGTGTTACGGCTGTCAACCTCAGTTTTGTTAACATTCCCAATTACGCGTCCTTGTCCGCTATGGGAACTTAACGTTGGGAAAAGGAATTACTTGCCAATGACAAAACCACAGCTTCGTGCGAAACAAATATGCCTCCCAGGCATTTGATCAAACGTTACAAATCACAAAAACGACCATTGACAAACTGTTAGCCTAACAAGTTTCAAAAACTGCTATTGCAAACTGTTTTAATCTTCTTCAAGCTTACAAATCCCTGCCTTTTTTGTATTTGCTGCGATTTGTGTTTTGTGATTTTTCTGTTACACACAATCTGGTGGCGGCTCCCACCTGTTTCCAGTAAATGTTGAGAAATTTCGTGAAACAGCTCCTTTGACTTGTTCTGTTATTCAGGATGCAGTTTTTGATCATTTCTCTTCCTTTTCTTGAACTCACCTAGACAATGTTACTCAAAGAAAACATACACTGACCGAGGTAACAGATCGTAACACCACCGCCGGATCCAAGCAGGTCGATGTGCTGGACGTAAGGAAAAGTTTAAATCGCCTGTTAAAGCAGCAACGCGCACAAACCATGAATAACGTAAAGCATCTAATAGACGCCAGGAGCGTTTATTTAATTTAGGGGTACCTAAGTGGGGGCTTTTAATAGATGGGAGGCGTTAATTCTCATATATGTAACAAGATCCACAAAATTTTAAATATGTTTTCGACGAAAATACCCGGAGAGTTTATAAATAGCAGAATACCCATTCCATCCATTGATACGCCTAGGCCTTCAAGATATCCATATCGCTCTTCAAAATGTTAGAATGTTCAGGGTCACTATGATGTTATTGTCAGCCCATCCTTACTGTTTTAAGCTTGACATTCAACAAGATGCGATGCACAAACGTAGCCTTGTTAATCAAGCAAGAAACTGAGCAGAACTTGAATGATTTTAAGATGGCTCGACTGGATTTTTTGGGGGGGATACCTCCCAAGTTTGAGCATTAATTAAGTCGCCATGAGTTTCGACAACTGTATTATATAAAGATGAAAATTTCTTATGATCTGGATTTTATTGCAGTCGGAGTCGCCATGGCAACGTAACGACGCCATTTGGTTTTTTATTTATCTTTGTCTTTCTCTGCACCAGGAGTTTTTTTAAGAAATCGCTTAAGGGAGTTTGTACCTGCCATAATTGCCTCAATTATTGCAAAGTTTGAACAAATTCTATGAGAGCGTTTTCAAAATATTTTGAAACGAAGTTTTAAACATCATATAAACATTGAAATAGCATGCTATCCACACAATTAGCTAATTTTTAAAGAAAACGATAAGCTTTGGAAACGCAGCTTCGTCTCATAGTGGTTTGATTCCATTGAAAACTGTGTACAAACACAGAGAGGAATTGCTGTGGGCGATCGCGAGTAAGAAGGATTTTATTAACTTGTAGTCAGCTGCTTTTGTTACGGTTTTTGCACGTAATTTGGTCCACGCCTACGAATTTCGCATTTTCTAAAAAACCGCTCGATAAATTTTTTTATATATTGTAAAATCCCGAGATCAATTGTCAGTAAATATACCCTGCGAGTTTTAAGAACATTGAAAACAAGGAAGGCTTTTAAATAGGGCCTCAAATATAACCAATTTTTCCCCCAGATTTTGTGTTTACAAGTGAGCGTCCACATTATTCACTGGCATTGTTTTCAAGTTTCATATGCACGTGCACCTTTAGCAAAAAGATAGAATTTGCATCAAAAAGGACCCTCCGTTAAATCTCCGGAATATGCTAATAACCGGGTAAAGAAATTAGTGATATATTCTAACATCACAGCAAGATCTTTGTGAGAGTTTCTGTGATGTCATAACCCGAGTAAGATAATTAAGTGTTACATCCTACAAGATGAGCCGTGACTTTCACTGTCTCGGCTCTCAGTACTATCTGTGACACAAGCCAATTATTAGCATATTCCGGATATTTCTGCCGAAAGTAATCGAAAGTTCTTTTTGATGCAAATTTATTTTTTTTGCTTAATGAGCACGTGCATATTATTCTTGAAAACAATGCCACTGAATAATAAGGACGTTCACTTGTAAACACAAAATCTGGGGGGGAAATTGGTCATATTTGAGGCCCTATTTAAAAGCCTTCCCTGTTTTCAATGTTCTTGAAACTGGCAGGGTATATTTATTGACAATTGATCTCGGGATTGTCAAATTTATAAAAAAATTTATCTAGCGGTTTTTTAGAAAATACGAAATTTGTAGGCGTGGACCAACTTACGTGCAAAAGCTGTAACAAAAGCAGCTGAATGCAAGTTAATAAAATTCTTATTACTCGCGATCGCCCAGAGCAATTCCCCTCTTTTTTTGTACACAGTTTTCAATGGAATCAAACCACTATGAGATGAAGCCGCGTTTCCAAAGCTTATCATTTTCTTCAAAAATTAGCTAATTGTGTGGATAGCATGCTATTTCACTGTTTTTATGATGTTTAAATAGCCATTAAAGAGTTCACATAATAATTTAAACATACCCGCTCAATAAATAGTTCATCTCTTATTACTGCAATTTGTAAGAGCGTTTATTTAAGTAAGCTTAAGTAAAACATGCTATTTATAGAAGGGAAAAGAAACCAGTTTTAACAGATGCGGGTTTAGCATTCGTTAGAAAGAGGTATTCTGATGAAGTTGTGTTTCTGTCGGGAAAAATATATGTATGGTCTGGTAAAATGTTTGCTTGTAGTAATATCACTATTGTTATTATTATTATTATTATTATATTAGTAGTATCATCATTTTTTCCAGTTTTATATATAAAAGGCAAAACGGTTGCTTTCGTACATTAAGCCGGCTAAAATTATCTCTTCCTGTAAAACATTTAGGGTGAAAGGAAAAAGGAAGAACATTTGTAAAAGCACATGACGTTAGGCGATCGGTCTGTCTCAATTTAGTTAGACCTCTATTCGGCTATGCAACCCAAATTTGGGCTCCTCAGTTTATCAAACTAATTACAAGAATTGAAAGGACACAAAGGCGTGCCACTAAATATGTTCTCAAATTCCCTTTTTCCTGCACAATTTCTTACATGGATTCTTTGGATCTGCTTCCATTAACATTGTGGCAAGAATATCTAGACATGACGTTTTTTTTTTTTTTTTTCAAAACCATTCATGATCTCATATCGGTAGATCTATCAATTTTTCCTAACGCTCACATGACGAGGCCTACCAGATCTTCATCCAGTGGTGTTATTAAATTGGTAGAGCCTAAATTTCAGGCAGCAACTTATCAAAACTCTTATATCATCAGATGTGTACGCGTCCGGAACGTTTTTGCTGATGAACTGATCCTGCGCATGAACACCCTTAATGATTTTAAACAGGAAATGGTAGAGTATTACAAAACCGCCTTAAGTAATTACGACTAGGAAAATCCCTGCACTTTCGAGTCTGTCTGTCTTAAATGTAATAAGTGCCGTAGTCTTGCCCAGCCTGTCTCGTGTTGCTTTTAATTTTGTGATTATGTCTTTTAACTATTCTTATATCTTTTTAATTTTCTGGGCCCCTAGTAACTGGCTCACGCTGTTGCGGAATCCCTGCCACTTTTTGTTTGTTACTTTGTTTGATTACCAATGTGTTTATATTATGGTGGCGAAGGTAATAAAATAAAAATAAAATCAGAAATGCCTTCTAAAAAGTAAATAATGTTATTTCGACCAGTTCGTGCTAGAGAGCTCACGTCAGACAGTGTCTGCCCCCCTTTGCACGAATCGGGATATTTTGGGGCCTTCCGTCCACACAAAACCACTGAATCCGCTCATGGAAAACCCATCCTTTTGAAACCGCTCTCCAAAGGGGATGTCCTTGGATCTGACGGAGTTGCGAATTCGTGGAGACGATTGAGACCGGATACTTTCCAGGATTCGTGTGGACAGGGCCTTTCTAAATCTTCAGAAGTTTACCTTACATCGATGGGTTTCGTGGATAACTACCTCAGCTCTATCCACAAAACTAGCTTCTCAAGTCTGAAACTACTTCTGTATCAAACTTAATGTGTGATAATAGGTCACCTCCGAGTTCCAAAAACCCTCACTTTCAAAATGAGGAAAAGTGTACAACCTTTCTTGCGGAAATGAGTTTTATTTGCATAAGAATGAAAAATCATTTCCATACCAAAGGCCTAGCACTTAACCTCGTTTCGATACAGAGGCCCGGGGAAACTCGGAAATTGCTTATTAAGGATATTAAGTACACTTTTCTTTCGATAAGGCTTGAATGTTGTAATGGTTTGCACTCTCCCATTGCGAGTGCGTAAAAAAGTTAACATGAAAAAATGAAAGAAGCCAAGGTGCAAATAGAGTCACTCTCGTCCCCAGAGGCACCTGACCTTTCAAATGGCCTAAACTTGAAACACGAATGTAGGCGGCAAAGCAATCAGTCTGGCTTGGACTTTGATTCGGCGGCGTTTGTTTTTAGTTATAGTAAACCAGGTTTTCTAGTGTGAGTCGTTGTAGAATTAGAAAGCTGGTTAACCAACTTACAACAACCGCCGCTCAAAAAGACGCACCCAGCCCATTCAGAGTCTTCATAGCTAATAACATCACGGCTTAACTGACAGACAACTAATGACCTCGACTTAGTTGACCAACCAAGTCAATAAGCAGAGTTTACATAATACCATCAACTAGAGTGATACAACTCACTTTGACTCTGAAGATGAATACGGCGCAGGTTGTCTAAAGGTCAGTCAGTGTCAAGGGGGTCTGTCATCAACAGTCCTATTCAAGACTCCACTGACTCACCCGGACTATCATATTCCACCTACTTGCAATAGAAATTAATAATTCGTTTCCATCCCTACATTAGGCACGCGCAATTGCTTTATCTCCAAAACATTTGCACTTCCTGGCAGCCCCGCGTTTGGTTCTACAGCAGCTTGAGAATAGCAGTATCTGCAGCTTAGCACCTTCATATAATCATTACGGAAGTTCTTGTTAAGCACACCGTATATCAAGGGATTCAACGCGTTGCTGATATTGGCCAAAAACGCGTATGCTACGTACACCTCGCGAGGGAAAGTCCATCTCCCAAGAATCGTGTCCACGATGTCAATCAAGAGAACTGGAGCCCAGCAAAGATTAAAACACACCACTATCACAAATATTGTGCGTGCCACTTTAATTTCTTCCACATTCACGGTGTTAATTCCGTTGCCAGGGAGATGCAAGTTGTTATTGTGACTACGAATTGTCTTGAAGATTCTAAGGTAACAGTAAAAGATAATACAAGATGGAATCCCTACATAAACTGCAACCAGAAATGCTGCACCGAATGCACCACTATCGATTCTAAGATAACAGAAGAACTTGGATGGATGAAAGACCATCTTTTTACCGCTGAGGAAATATGGTAGAGGAGCACACATTGAATACAGCCACGACATAAGAATCATGATGATGGTTTTCTTCTTGGTGAAGTAACGGCGATATTTCGATGGCTTGACAATTATGAAAAATCTGTTAACCGCCATCAAGACCAATGTGTGAATCGAGGCAGCTGCCAGAGTGATGGAAAAGTATCCGTCCAATTGGCAGGTCCAATCATTAAAAGGCCACTTGGAGGTCACCAGGACAACAGGTCCTGACAGAGCTGACTTGAGAACTCCCAAACATAAGTCAGAAACAGCGAGTGATGCCACTAACATATTAGTAATTGTTCGTCGCCGACGGTTTAGCAGCATGACTAGGAGAGTTATGGAGTTCCCGACTAACGAAAACAACAAAATCAAAGTCAAAAAACCCGATTCCAGAATGACTTGAGCTTTGCTTCTGGACTGTAACTCCGTTAACATTTCTGCCAGTTGCTTCTTTGTAGAATTCATTTTGCGCAGAGTCAATCAGTTCCAGCTATGGAGTTAAAATATGATAACTGGATTAAAAACTGCGAAACATAGAAGCTAAGTGACTAGTTTTAATATATATCAGATTGTTACTTTTCCGTCTATGTTCACAACGCATTATTTGACAGTTTCTCTGGCCTCCTGTTTCGGAATCACTTAAAATGGCGGCTGGCCTAGTTAAAACCATAATCAGTGGCAGAGGGGGATCCCCCCTAGAGAAAGGAAAGAAAGGGGAGATGTTCAGACAATATACAGTATACAATATCAGTGGCGGATCTAGAGGAGGGCACCACCTCCTAATTATTTTTAGACCAAACTGAGGCCAAAGGGCAAAGGGCCGCGTGGAAAAAAGCTTTTTGAGACCGGGCCACCTCCTTATCTCAGGGTCTGGATGACCGAGCCCGCCACCATTATTATTATTATTATTATTATTATTATTATTATTATACTACTATTATTCTTGCTTTTCAACCACGTGATAAGGCGTCCATGTTGGATGACAATACAACAGAATTTTTTCTTGAAGAATTTACACGGAAATAGAGTTGAGTTTCCAGAGTAGCGAAATGCTATTTGTTCTTGTCATCCAACATGGCCGCCGTGACATCATGTGCAAACCAGCAATTCGCTTACTCAGTGAACAGTTTATTCGGCCGTAAACGGTAAAAAATAGTTGAAGGCACCTTAATATTCGTTGTTTATTTAACTCTGTTTTTATCGGCAAGTGCGAGTCCTGCTGCAGTCTTTGAATCTGTCAGTGAAAGTAAAAGTTTGTGGGTATAATGAGACGGATACATTCAATAAGTTATGTGTAAAAAGTAAATATGATCGTAGAACCGAGAAAAGTTAACTTAAGGTCTTAAATGATTCATGACCTGTACACAAACCGGATCTACTTGTGAGGCTGTTCCAACTATATATATTTTTCACCGAACAGATGACTATTTTGACTCAAAAAAATTGACGAACGTCCATTAGAACGATGTTAGAAACGGCGTAAAGCTTGCTTATTGAAAAATTCGTTAAGTGTACCAATATCTTGTCGTTGCCGCTCGTGTTAAAAGACACCTGTTCCACCATTAGAAGAAACGGCGTATAAACTGATAATACAAAACATCAAGAAGACCATAAAAAGGTGATCAAAAACGTAGTAAATAAAATTAATCTCAGAAGCGGAATTTTAGATCCTAAGGGATGGAGTTTAATTAAATGAAAAGAATTCCGAAGCTAGAAAAACAATCGTATGCAAAAATATAAGCCTAGGCTAGTGAGTCGTTTAAAAGTTAATCCATGGAAAATGAACACTCAGGCCAGTAGATAAGATAAAGAAACTATAGTTTAGTAAAAAAGTGATGCGTCATTTTATTGTTAAAATTTCGCCGAACCGTTTGCTTTGAATTGAGGAGCTCGTGCAATATATAGGGCCCTGCTTGTTTCGTAAAGGGAAATAATATCGCTTGTGTATACTGCCGAATCTCTCTTCAATTTAACGACGCTTCCAAAAAACGGAAGCTTCTCAGTTAAAGACAGTGGTCTTGGTCAAACTTCTTCCAACTGCTCCTCTACTGTACTGCAACACCTTTTTAACGAGGACACCTCTCCCTTGGATGTTAACATTAAGCGGAAGTTAAGTATATTTTCAAAAACAACCAGGGTTGTGTTCGATTGTGTTATCAAATTTAAATGAACTAGGTCAGCAGAAAACGCAAGGTTACTTTTTGGTTTCAAAACCTTCTCTTTGCAAGCATTTCTTTTCACATCAACAATCCTTCAATTGTAGATTTGGTAATTGAACTTCAACTTTAACCGTTTCATGATTTTATTACAGCAATTTCTAAACTATTAAATTCAACTTCTGGGTAAAGACAAAAAACGAGAAAGAGAAAACTTTGGTGCGTTGCAGTTAATACTGCCGATTGATCTGAACGTTTTAAAGTGGAAAACAGTCAACTGTACTCACTCAGCAATTCATGCAAACTCAATGAATAATTCCTGTTCCTGCCTAATTAGTATATCTTCACGAAATGATTTGTTTAAATGGAAGATCTGCGCAAAACATGAATTTGAAATGCTTTGTCGAAATACTTCTCTTGAGGAGCTCTTCTCTGCAGTATACCACAATACGTTATACCCACCTTTTGTTGATGCTGGTGTAACCAGGGTTTCACTGACTTGATGCAATGAGATCCCGTTGAGACGAGTGCGGTAAATCGACACTGCAACGGTAAGACTTAAAGGGCATGCCCGCGTAATACTCGTCACCAGAGCCACGCGGGTTTCTTAGCCAACGCTGCCATGAACATGAGTGTCGGAACAAATTGAAGAGGTCAAAGGTTCGAATCCCGTACAATCCTGAGGTTATTCAGGCTTTCTTTTCACAACTGCAAAAGTTGCATCTATAACTGCGATGATCTTCTTTCATATAATTCTTCACCCCGCAGTTCTCATACATGATTTTCATTATTCATAACTTGATCATCATCTTTTCACGGGTTTATAACGAACCAATTCAACGACCTGTTCCCAGTTGGCTTGTTAGCTCAATTGGTAGAGCGCTGCACCGGTATGGCATAGGTCAAGGGTTCTAATCCAGTACAAGCCTGAATTTTTCCAGGCTTTCTTTTCGCAACTGCAAAAGTTGCGTCTATAACTGCGATGATCTTCTTTCACTTAAACTGAATTAGCTAGGCTTGTTTCTTTCTTCAGAAACACTTGTGAAGGCAAAACCACAACGACAAACCAGTGAGGGTCAGCCGTATCTTTAGTAGACCTGGATCAGTAAAATCTTGAATACCAAATTTTAAACTTAAAACGAACAGTAAACTGATCCTTACGACAGGAAGAGTGATAGAAAAAATAAATAAAGAAAACAAAAATAAAGTGGTGAATTATATTTGCCCAATATTTCGTTTTTAGCAGGCCAGTGATAAATTTTCTCCTGAAAAAGGCAAAACATAATTATCATGTAAATTTTTAATCTATTAGTTGAGTTCGTTGCCGGTGAAGATCGACGTTTGTCCCAGAGTCGAGCTTCAGACGTTCCATCCGTCTGCTTGATCAAAACTCACTCAGACGAACTTAACTGAACCAGACGTCAACCTTTTCATAAACTTAACTCACTAAGTTTGACTCGTCTCAGGAAAAGCTCGAGGTTTGGCCAAAGCCTAAATTATTTGCCGGCTTAAGCCTGATATGACGAAATTTGAAACGATTCTAATTAAGTTCGGTAAATTTGTTATTACTTTTTTAATAGCGGTGCTAGACATGGACTCTCCTTTCGATACGTACAGTGAATACCTTTTAGAAACATCTAACACCATACAAAATGAACCAACCACAATCTTCTGATTTGGTCTGACAACGAAGGGCTGATGCGCGAAACGTCTACTTCTCAGTCCCCTGACGGTGACCAATCCACCTTATTACGGCTAAGTTGATAAAGCCAAATCTTTGTAAGTCTCTCGACTCTCTCCTCTATCACTGAGTTTCGATTCTTTCCAAATAGCAGGAAGAATTCCAGAAGCAAGGGATGTATTAAAAATTGTGCTGAGAGGTTCTGCTAATTCATAGGAGAATTCTTTCGGGATACGACATGGCAGATTTTCAGGTCCCTAGGCTTTAAAAGGCTGAATTGCTAAGAGCTTCGTGCAGGCTTCATGAGGATGGTTAGTCGGAACAGAAGTCGGTCGACAGGAAAGCTAGTAGTGTTGTGGCATCCAAAGGTGGAATATCATATCATCCACAGAAGCATAAGATGTCGGCTAACGCCATCTCATTCAGGACTTCACGATCGCATTCCAACGAGTAAGATAATGCGTTCCCTGAGCTGCCGGTCAGTCTGATGACAGTACCCCACCACTTGCAGCAGTCGCCTTGACTTTGTTTCCCCTTGTGCCTTTGCGTTTTTGAAGCTTTTCCATCATCTTTCCTCGCGACTACCGTCGAAAATCCCAAGAAGCGCCTAAGTACGAGGCAAAAGGTGACTCGAGTTTTTTTTCTTGTATTTTTGCTCAACAAAGTAAAATGAAAGCACTCCACGATGTGCCGCTCAAAACTATTGCATAATTGATACAAGCTATATTTTTCCAAATGGAAGACATTGACACGTGTCAATCAGACCACAACATCAATTGTTAGGCTATGTTCACACTATACGGCGACCAGTTTGCTACTTTCTAAGGGGCTTCTTTGCCATCTTGTTTGACTTAAGTTAGGGCTTTGACGAATTTTTGCTATATTTGCCATTTTGGTCAAAATCGCCACTCTCCAAGGATCACTTTTGGTATCCAATTTGAATATTTTCCAAACCCATGGAAAATTTTTGCCAGATTTTCTATTTTCACCAAATTTGCCATTTTTGTAAGATTCACCATCTTTGTTAACTTTTCTTCTTTGCAAGGAGCGCCTCTTTTAATCTCATTAAAATTTTCACCAGCCCTTTTGCGATTCGCCAGATTCGCCATTGCTGGCTGGTTTCACTATTTTTGTCATATTCGCCATTTTGGTCATAATCGCCACTCTCCAAGAGGCCACTGTGTCATCCAATTTGCCAAACCCATGGCGAATTTTTGCCAGATCCGCCATTTTCGTGAACTTCCTCACTTTCTAAAGGGCCCCTCCTGTAACATCATTCAAATTTTCGCCAGCCATCTGGTGAGTTTTTGCTAGATCCGCCATTCTCGTCAACTTCTTCTCTTTCTAGAAGGCGCCTCTTGTAACATCATTTAAATTTTCGCCAGCCATCTGGTGAGTTTTTGCTAGATCCGCCATTCTCGTCAACTTCTTCTCTTTCTAGAAGGCGCCTCTTGTAACATCATTTAAATTTTCGCCAGCCATCTGGTGAGTTTTTGCTAGATTCACCATTTTCGCCATTACATATATTTCTGGACATAAGTGGGTTCGTGGCGCCACAAAAAGCTATCCGGTATGGTGTGAACACCTATCTGATATGTGACTGTCCACATTATATTCAGAGATCGGCGCGGCTCAGCTTCGACCAGCACAGAAGTCGCACCACCACAATCGTCTTGTGTGTGAACAGAAGCCCTATCCGCTACAGATTTCGTGGCGGCGCAAAAGGTATCCGGTTCAGTGTGAAAACAGCATTAATTCTACAAAAATATAGACAAATATAACAAAACAGCAAAGAGAAAGCGATTCGAGGTTTCCTACAACTCCATCTCTGCATTAGGCATACGCAATGGATTTAGTTCCACAACATTCGCATCTCCTCCCGGATCATCTGTACGAAAATTCTTGTTAAGCACACCATATATAAAAATGATTCCATACCCTGCTGATATTGGCCAAAAGCGTGTATGCTACGTACGCCTCGCGCCGGAAAGTCCATCTCTCAAGAATAGTGACTACAATGTCAATTAGCAAAACTGGAGTCCAGCAAAGACTAAAAAACACCACTATCACAAATAGTGTGCGTGCCACCTTAATTTTTTTCTGCTCACAGTGTTAGTTCCGTTACAAGGGTGGGACAAATTGTTATTGTGACTGCGAATTGTCTTGAAGATTCTAAAGTAACAAGATGGAATCCCCACATAAACTGCAACCAGAAAGGCGGCGAATGCATCACTGTCAATTATAAACCATAGCAGAAGAACTTGGATGGATGAAAAACCATTTTCTACACATTTAAAAAATAAGTACCGGCGGTACTTTGATGGTTTAACCACTCTAAAATACCTGTTAACCGCCTTCAAGACCAATGTGTGTATCGATGCAGCGGCCAACATAATAGCAAACCCTGAAATTGGCAGATCAAATTATTAAAAGGCCACTTGGAGGTTGCCAGGCCAACATGTCCTAACGGAGCGGGCACGAAACCTCCCAAACATAAGGCGGTAACAGCGAGTGATGTGACTAACAAATTAGGAATTGTTCTTCTCTGACGGTTTGGTAACATAAGGCCAGGAGAGTTATGAAATTCCCAACTAACATTAATGAGGAAATAAACCAGAATTAACTGATTCGAGGATAATTTTGGTGTTGCTTCTGGACTGTAACGCTGTGACCATTTCTGCCAGTTGCTTCTTTGCAGAGTCAATCAGATCCAGCTATCAGTAGAGTTAAAATGTAATAATTGGATTGAATACTTGCTAATATGGGCGCTACGCGATTTCAACATATAGGAGACTTAAGCCTGTCCTGTTATTATCGACGCAGTTATTGACCTTTCCTCCCCCTTCTCTGAAACTCACCGGAGATAATGTCAGTCAAGTTAGCCTGCGTAGCAAGCGTTTCCTCGCGAGGTTCGTCTAGAAAGCTGGGACAAGAGCAAAAAAAACATGAATGACGGGGGAGGGGGAGGGGAACAACCTTTTTTTGGCTTCCGCTCTAACTTTTGCGCAATAACTCGATTGAAAACGCTTGCTACGCAGGCTACAGTCAAGCAGGTCGATGTGTTTGACTTAAGGAAAAGTTTAAATCGAAACGCGCGCAAATCATGAACACCGTTTGATGATCTAATAGACGCCCTGGGCATTTGCTTAATCTTAGGGGTCCAAAAGGAAACGTTTAATAGATGGGAGACGTTTACGGCTCATATCTGTAACAAGTTCAACAAAATCAATATGTTTTAGACGAAATTTTCAGGAGAGCCATTGATACGCCAAGGCCTTCTAGAGATCCATATCGCTCTTCCAAATGTTAGAGTGTTCAGGGTCACTATATTGTTGTCGTCAGGCCATCCTTATTTTGAGCTTGACTTTGAACAAGATGCAATGCACAAACGTGGACCTGTTAATCAAGCAAGAAACTGAGCAACTTGAATGATTTTACTCTTTTCTGCTTTTTCGTAGTATTTTGGTTAACTCAAGCAAAATTGATTTTGTATGTGGGAGACATGGATAAAAATAAATAAATGAAAGGCAAATAGCCATTGGAGATTGCACATAATAATGTAAACAAAACCAGCTCAATAAAGAGTTCTTCTCTTATTGGTGCAATTTGCAAGAGCGTATATTTAAGCAAGTTTATGAAAACATGCTATTTATAAAAGGGGAAAATTAACCAGTTTTAATTGGTGCGGGACTAGTATTCGTTAGAAAGAGGTATTCTGATGAAGTTATGTTTCTGTCGAAAAAAAATTCCTCCAAAAAGTAAATAATATAAAACACAAACAAAAACATATGAAAAGACGTTGACTTGTCTAGTAAAAGGTTCGCTTGTTATTATTATTATTATTATCATTATCATAATCATTATCATTATCATAATCATTATCATTATCATTAGCATTAGCATTAGCATTATCATTATCATTATTATTATTATTATTATGTCCATTCCTTGTAGACTCAGGCAGGATGTTTAGCCTGGTTTATAGTCCTTGGGAGCGGGTTACAACAAGTCAGCACGGGTGCCAGGTCATTACTTTCCTTAGTATCTTTGCTGTCCCCAACAATACTGTTTTCTGGATAACTTCCAACCTCACGTTCACGCCGATTCGCTTAATGTACTCCTTAAAGTTGACTGATACGGCTCCAAGGGCCCCAATAACAGCAGGCACTAAAATGACTTTTCGCATGCACCATACTTTTGCAGTTTCATCACCTGGGATGGCGACATCAATTACGACAACCTCGCTCTCATTCTTATCAATAAATACAATGTCTGGTCTTCTTGCCTCAATTTTCCAATCACACTGGACTGTGAAATCCCACAGTATCTTGAAGTTTCACTTTCCACCACTCCCTCCGGCTTCTGTTCATACTAGCTTTTATCTCTTTCCAATCCAGATTTACCACAAAGTTGGCCGTGGGTATACCGTGCCACGTTTATATTCTGTCTGCGCCAGCTTACCGCACTCACTCACCACATGGGCCACCGTTTCTCCCTTACTTCCGCACATTCTGCACAAAGAGGATTCTGCTGTGTGATCAATATGAAATCTCGTATAATTTGTTCTCAAAGCTTGTTCCTGGGCGCTACATATCAGGGCCTCAGTACATCCTTTCAAATTTCCTTTAGCAATCCACTGACCAAGTTCTATCCCAGTCAATACCTTCTCTCACATACTGCCCATGCATTCTTTTCTGCTTCCATTCATTCTCCGTCTCCTTTACTTCATTCACTTTGTAGTCCTTGGACTTTAATTCGGCAGCGTTTGTTTTGAGTTAGTAAATTAGCCTTTCTAATGTCAGTCGTTGTAGAATAGCAACTTAGAACAAACGCCGGGACTGAAAAAAAAACGCACCAATCCCATTTAGAGTCTTCATAGCTAATAACATCACGGCTGAACTGACAGACAACCAATGACCTCGACTTAGTTGACCAACCAGGTCAATAACCAGAATTTAATACCATCAACAGGCGTGATACAATTCATTTGACTCTGACGATGACTACTGCACAGGTTGTCGAAAGGTTAGTCAATGTCAACAACAGTCCTATTCAGGACTCCACTCACCCGGACTATCATATTTCATCTACTTGCAACAGAAATTATTAATTCATCTCCATCCCAGGATTAGGCACGCGCAATGGCTTTATCTCCAAGACATTTGCACTTCCTAACAGCCCCTTTGGTTCTACAGCAGCTTGGGCATAGCAGCATCTGCAGCTTAACACCTTAATATAATCGTTACGGAAGTTCTTGTTAAGCACACCGTATATCAAGGGATTCAACGCACTGCTGATATTGGCCAAAAAAGTGTATGCTACGTACGCCTCGCGAGGGAAAGTATATCTCCCAAGAATCGTGTCCACGATGTCAATTAACAAAACTGGAGCCCAGCAAAGGTTAAAACACACCACTATCACAAATAGTGTGCGTGCCACTTTAATTTCTTCCACGTTCACGCTGTCAATTCCGTTGTCAGGGAGATGTAAGTTGTTATTGTGACTACGAATTGTCTTGAAGATTCTAAGGTAACAATAAAAGATAATACAAGATGGAATCCCTACATAAACTGCAACCAGAAAGGCTGCACCGAATGCACCACTATCGATTCTAAGATAACAGAAGAACTTGGATGGATGAAAAACCATCTTTTTACCGCTGAGGAAATATGGTAGAGGAGCACACATTGAATACAGCCACGACATAAGAATCATGATGATGGTTTTCTTCTTGGTGAAGTAACGGCGATATTTCGATGGTTTGACAATTATGAAAAATCTGTTAACCGCCATCAAGACCAATGTGTGAATCGAGGCAGCTGCCAACGTGATACAAATGTATCCCTCAAATTGGCAGATCCAATCATTAAAAGGCCACTTGGAGGTCACCAGGACAACAGGTCCTAATGGGGTTGACGCGAAAACTCCCAAACATAAGTCGGTAACAGCGAGTGATGCCACTAACATATTAGTAATTGTTCGTCGCCGACGGTTTAGCAGCATTACTAGGAGAGTCATGGAGTTTCCGGCTAACAAAAACGACAAAATCAAAGTCAAAAAAACCGATTCCAGGATAACTTGAGCTCTGCTTCTGGACTGTAACTCGGTTAACATTTCGGCCAGTTGCTTCTTTGTGGAATTCATTTCGTGCAGAGTCAATCGGTTCCAACTATGGAGTTAAAATATGATAAATGGATTATTAAAAACTGCGTGACATAGATACGAAGTGACTAGTTTCCCAAGCAGTATTTATCAGATTGTTACTTTTCTGTATATGTTCACAACGCATTATTTGACCGTTTCTCCTCCTGTCTCGGAATCACTTAGAATGACAGCTGGCCTTGGTAACACCATAATCAGTGGCAGAGGGAAATCCCGGGGGAAAGGAAAGGAAAGGGAGAGGTCCAGATCGTATGTATACAATATTATGTATAACATTCTAGAACATTGCAAATAAACAGAGTGAACTGATACACTTTCTACAGTCTCAATGAACCGCATCTATAGTCCTTATATTTGACATCTCTATCGCCATGGCTGATTCGCACAAACGTAAACAGCCTAACTTCCCGGAATTAGATTTAAGAAAGCTGCTATTATTCGCTTACTGAACAGTTTATTCGGCCGGAAACGGTAAAAAATAGTTAAAGACACTTTAATTTTCGATATTAATTTAACTCGGTTTTTATCGGCAAGTGTGAGTGTTGCTGCAGTCTTTAAATTTGTTAGAGGAAATAAAAATTAGTGAGTATATATAATGGGACCAATACATGTAATAACTTATGTGAAAAAATAAATATTACGGTAGAACTGAGAGAAGTCAGCAAAAGGTCTAAGGTGATTCATGAGCTTTACACACCCCCGATCCACTTGTGAAAGCTGTTCCAATTATTTATTTCACTAAACAGACCACGATTTTGACTCCGGCAAACAAATTGGAGAACGTCCATTCTAGAAACGTCAAGCTTTCTTAATAAAAACTGTGTTATATGTACCAATATCTTCTCATTGCGGCTCGTGTTAAAAGACACCTGTTTCACCATTATTTATACAATTTATCTGTTTAGCAGTTTTGTTAAAAGCAGGAAAGCGGCTTATGATTTAATAATACAAAATATAAAGAGGACCATAAACCTGTGGTTAAAATATTAAAAGGAGTAGCTGAAAGTTCTCAGAAGCTGAATTTTAGATCTGAAGGGATGGAATTTAATTAAATGAAAACAAATCGAAACTAGACAAACAATCGTATGCAAAAATACAAGCCTGAGCTAGTGTCTCATTTTGAAGTTAATCCGTGGAAATTAAAAACTCACGCCAGTAGATACGATAAAGAACATATTGTTTAATAAAAATTAAAGTGATGTGTGGTTTTATTGTGGAATTTTCGGCGAACCGTTTCCTTTGAATTGAGAAGCTGACGTGCAATATATAGGGCCCTGTTTGCTTTGTAAAGGGAAACAATATCGCCTGTGTATACAGTTGAATCCCTCTTCAATTTAACGACACTTCCAAAAAGCGGAAGCTTCTCAGTTAGAGACAGTGGTCTTGGTCAAACTTTTTGCAATTGCTACCTCTACTGCACTGCAACACTTTTCAGTTTAATGAGAACACCTTCCCCTTGGATCAGATGTTAGTATTAAGGGGAAGTTCAAGTGAAGTTTCAAAAACAAGCAGGGATGTGTTATCAAGTTTAAATGAACGAAGTCAGTCGAAAACGCAAGGTTGCTTTTTGGTTTCAAAACCTTCTCTTTGCATTCATTTATTTTCACACTAATCCTTCAATTGTAGATTGGGTAATCGAAATTTAAATTTAGCCATTTCATGAATTTACTACAGCACCAGTACCAAACTATAACGAGAAAGAGAAAGCTTTGGTGCGTTGGAGTTATGCTGATCGATTTGAATGTCTTGAAGGGGAATCGGTCAACTTAGCTCAATGAATAATTTCTGTCCCGGTGTAATTAGTATATCTTTCACGACGTGATTTGTTGAAAGTTGACATCTGCGCAAGTGAAAGATGGATTTGAAAAAATTTATCAAGAAACTTGCGTGAAGGAGCTTTTTTGCAACCTCTAGTCCTCTGCTGCATAAAAGAAGAAGTCATACCCACCGTTTTCAAAGCTGGAGTAACTGGGGTTTCACTGAGTTGATACGATGGCAACACAAATCTAGTGTAGTTTAACGAGATCCCATCGCAACGAGTGCGGTAATTAACAGAAGTAAAGCGGTGAAACTGAAAAAAGTTAGAGCGCGGCACGTCACTCTTGTCCCCAGAGTCCCCAGAGTGCCCAGAGTGTCGAAAAAAATTGAGGTAGGTGTGTTACTTCCTTCACTTCAAAAAGTGAGACAAGCCAAATCTAATTTCGGTCGACCTAAATTAGGTTAAGATTGTCTGTTGGGTCATTTGTCGAACTTAGGACACGTCGTTTGTCAGTGCTTCTCACTTCCCAGCCGGATTTTAAGATGACGACTTGACAGGTCGCGGGATATGTTTGCTTTTCGGAAGTGCGTTTCAGTTCGAATTTTTACCGTCAAACCTTGCTTTTCCCTGAAGTCTGTACCTTTCAATTCATGTTACGCCGAGGAAAACCCACAATGAATTGGGTCTTTCCCCGCCTTTCCATGTGACCGATGGATCAAATCAATGACTAACCGGTTTCAGCTCAGCTCCGTACATCGATCGGCCGTTAAGCCCACGAGTGAATTGACACCGAAATAATGCAAAATGACTTTGAAATACCCGTTTAAGCTAATTTTCGTCAAATGTATCTTTGAATTCATTATAAATACAGCTCCACAAGCTTCAAACAGTACGTATGGCAGAGAAAAATGGTTGAACTGTACTGTATTAATTTTCAGTGCCAGCGTGGACAAGTGGTCTGGGAGCTGTATTCTCGGGCAGGAGGTAGTGATAGTGTAAGTTCGAATCTGCGTTGATAACTTCTTTTTCTTTGTACATTTTCTTCTGTTTAGTTTTATTTCTTTCCGTTTGGCTCGTTTTACTTTATTCTCACTGCTTACCCCCTTTTTAGCTTCGCGAGGTTTTTACAATAACGTATTTCTAGTACTTTATTACAGTCGAACCTCTCTCAGTGATACGGACATCGAAGGGACAGAGCGAAGTGTCCGTATTAGAGACTGAGCGGTGTCCGTATAAATGAGGTCACCATGATGACGTCAGTTTTATGACTCCACTTACAATTTTAAGTGTTCAGTAGTCAGGGGCACCCAACGAGAATATAGTTCAAAACCACTTAAACATTGCATTGTTGAACGTATTTTAGTATTTAAACGGTAGATATAGGCATATTTTTATCTCCTAGAAATTTTTCATCTGTTCGAATTTCCTAGCTGAATGTCTAGTGATCCGAAAATTATAGGGATCAAAACTTACCTTATCGGAAATTTCAGCCAGTAAAAAGGCTCCCGAAAATTCTAGAAGACCTTTTTAGGGTAAAAATCCGTTAAAAACGGGCAATTATACCATTTTGGGGGGTGGTCGAAAATCGTAGGAGAGGCAGGCAAGCAAGAAATTCAACAACAAATGTTCCGAAAATTCTAGATCTCAAATCGGAACAGATATTTTCCAAAAATTGTCGTTGGGTGCCCCTGAGTAGTTAAAACCAGGCTCATACTCGTCTTTAAACTGCATTTAAAGTTATTAATTCACCGTACAAAGACGCTGTCTTTCAGTAGTATACAACATTGTACATCTCAGCTACAGAAAAATTACTGTTTTAAAACAAAACGAGCTACAGCGCAATACTGTATGTAAAAAGTTGTAACGTAAAGCACACTTTGTTGCAAGTGCAGTAAATAGTAACTAGAGTACAAAATGTAATAGAAAAGATCTTTATGCTATCTGTAGTTATTGAAACCTTCAAAACGTCGGTTATGCTCCTCTGTGCACCTTTCGCAAATCTTTGTTTGGTATAGAGCGACTGGGCTTTATATCACCTTGCATAGCTCACCAGCCAGACTGGACGAGATTCACCCTATTCTCATTCGTATAAAAGCCGCCGCGTGACGATTTAATCAACTAGATTACTGTGTGCTCCCTCGGGAAGCAGTCTATTGGTCCTTTACGGTCCCCAGGGAAATTCCCTAAGCCTTTTATACGCCCTAGCAAACAAATTCACCGTCTTCTCGCAAGTCTACTCTACAACGGGCAAGCAAGTTTCCCCACCCTCCTCCCCTTCAGCGGCGCTGGCAAATTTTCTCTATCAGCCCACCTTATGCCTTATGCAAAATTTTTCACCCATAACTTATCTATCAAAAGGCATAAGGTGGCTTTTATGCGAATGTGAATTAGTTACTATGCAGAGTCACCTGATCGGGATTCGGGATCACCTGATCACCGCAGCGTCCGTAATAAAGAGGTTAAGTTTATACGAATTTACTCCCTGGGGCCGATATTTAGTGTTCGTTGTCCGTATTAGAGAGAGTCCGTATTATAGACAGAGGTTTTTTTAATGAAAATAGATAAGAATTTTTTAAGGACATTGGAAACTGTCCGTAATAGAGAGGTGTCCGTACCGAGAGGTTCCACAGTATAGTTTAGTTCGTTGTATGGGAAGTTTGACGTTTGTCCCGGATACGATCTTCAGACCGTCGTTCTATCCGTCTGAAGCAGACAAGTAGACCGTGTTGGACGATCCAGACTCATTTAGACGAACTTAACTGAGCCCGACGTCGAACTTTTCATGAACTTAACTCACTAAGGAGGGGGGTGAATAGGAGTATGTAAATCCGCCGATCCGTTATGATTTGTTAACCAAATCCGCCGTTAAATTTTCGCCCTGAATCCGAAATCCGGGCAAAAATATTTTGTATTATGCACTTTAAGCTTATTAAGTTAACGTTTTTCAGTTGTAAAATAATTTGCTTTCTCATGTGACTGTCAAACACTTTCCGAACGATAGTGCACTTTCTTGTAAAATAGCTAAATTTTACCTTCAGGCCGAGTTTTATTTACAGTCAAACCAGGTCAAGCGTTCCCGTCGCTAGCAAACTAATGAATTCATTAATGGAAAAATGATTTCGTTTGTTGATTCAATAATCCATTCATAAAATGAATAATCCAACAGTCAAATTGGTCCTCGATTCAATAATTAAATGTTGATTTGGTTTATGAACAAAATCTA